TAGCTAACGGTGCACCCAAAATGTGCTGAAGAGGACGCAATATTCAAACTCTGCCTAAAACACAGGAACTGTTTTTCTTACCCGGCTGAGAGATCTTGACGTCAAAGATTTTCTCCACTTGTCTGTTGTAGGCTGTGATGTGGAAGACGGTGGTGGGCGTGTCCTCGATACATGAAATATTCACCGGAACTACGTCATCGGACACTCTCTCCCAACGCATGAACTCTCCATCTCCGTGAACACGAAAAACATCTGCCCAGAGCCTAGAGAGAAGAACACACAGAGAAGAAGAACATGAGAATAAATAGATGACTATTTTGATATAAATATCATCGCTTTTAAAATGTTGTACTCGGTGTAACTAGACAAGCAGCAAACGTCTAAGCAATGTTTGTTTTAGCAGAAGTTTTACGGCGCTCGCAACTGCATAAGGTCATATGAGCGCCTAGGGGTGGATGTCAACAGAGAAGTCTTTACAGGGAATCAGACTTACTCTGCTCACCTCTCTAGCTTCAACAGCACAAAGTCTGCTTCGACTGTCAAGGCACCCCGGAAATACCGGGTCACAAGAGTGTGACAAACATACAAAAGAAGTAGAGGAAAATGACGATAGTAAGGATTAAGAAAGAAAAGTCAGCAGTTTCCTGTTGTAGTTCAGGCACAATTATGAGAATGACATTGATGAATCAGCCCATATACAATTACAATTCTTCTGTGTATAAGAACTCAAGATGTTAATGTCCCCCCCTTTGGGAATGACCTAAAGACACTTCAGTCAGTGGCACCACCCGGGGGCTGAAACGTCTTAGTAAGAGATGGCATTCGAAACACAATATGGTCATTTTTTTGCCAAAGATTAGAGGAGTCACAAGAGAGTAACAAACGCAAAACAGAAGGAAGAGAGATAAGGACGAAAGATGTTTAAGCGGAAAAAAGAGTAAACCACACCAGAGCACCCACCAACCACCCACACAGCAAACATTACCCGAAGCACATTCTAGTAATATAGCTGTTTAAGTAACAAATCAACAAATTCAGTTTTGAAGAGCTAAATAAATTGGGGTGGATTAACGAAACCAGTTGAGGCATGATAAGATAGGGTAATATTGTAGTACGCAATATTATAATCAGGCACAGAGAGACAGGGCACGTTCACTTGAAATAAGATTATCCTGATATGTTAACTCATCGACGACGAATATTCTCTGGGAAAATAAAGCATTATCTTATCATATATTATTCGATAGCGCTTCAAGAAGCACTGTTTAAGAAGAAAAGGAATATAATTTCGTTATTCATGCCGATTTTTTAATCCTCTTTTCTTTCTTCGAAACCCCAAAAGACAGAGAACAATATGCATACTATGAAGAAAACAAATTTGTGTTTCTGATAAGTGATGGTTTAAAATGTGAAGCACCATTGTCTATAGTCTTCTGTTGATCGGACATATGTGTCCGATACACCCTTGAAGAGTTAACAAAGTATGAGATGATACGACGCAAGACATGGTGGATATAAGAAAAGGCATGACACTTCATCAGACGCTATGTGATACTAACACCATCTTTCGAAACTTGTAAACATATCCAAACGTGCCCCCTAAAAAATTATCTTTGTGCCCGCTTCGAAACCGGGCTAATTATCATTATCAAATCGTTTGAAGATAATATGTATGATTGCAGAGTTTTGTAAAGGAAACGCCGCTGATGTCAGTGTCATTAAAACGTTATGTTCCATAAGATTGGACACACTCTCAGGAAGTTAGGCATCTAACAAAAAAGTACTGGATTGGAACCCACAAGGTAAAAGATCAAAGGGAAGACTCCGTGGAACCTGGATAAAGTAACAAGAAACTGATGTACAGAAATGCGGGAAAACATGAAATGACATCAAGAGGCTAGCCCAGGATAGGTAAAAGTGGAAAGTGTACCCTGATCCAGGGTTAAGGTTTAGTAAGTGTTTTACGGGCACTTGCAACACAATAAGGTCATATAAATGCCGAAGATTAGAGGTGTTACAAGAGAGTAACAAACACAAAAAAGAAAAAGGGAGATATAGACGATAAATGTTTTATTAGTTTAAGTAGAGGTTTTACGTCGCTCGCAACTGCATAAGGTCATATGAGCGCCAGAAGATTAGAGCTGTTACAAGAGAGTAACAAACATAAAAAAGAAGAAGGGGAGATAAGGGCGATAGATGTTTGATAGGAAAGAAGAAGCAAACCACAGCAGAGCACCCACCAACCACCCACACCTGATCCACGGGGAGAAAGGCAATGATGATGATGATGTTCCATTGTCAGATGACGATGACAACGGCTTTCCTCAGAGATGAGATGGCCGACACGTTGACCCACATTTTCCCCAAGCAAAATGACAGGTCATTAGAAAAAAGCAATGAAATTATCATTAAAAGGCGGAACACTTGTCGTGCGACTAATAATAACGGTCGGGGATTCAAAGGTCAGGTGGTTTGAAAAGAAAATTACCGTGGCGAGTATTGGAAATTGATTTGAAGTTCAAGAAAAACTGTTCCTGGTGTAATTATTGAGGCTTCACTTTGCTGTCTGTCTCGTCTTCACTATTGTTCCATTTTTTTCGCTTATCAGAGGTTGTGTTGATGTATAGCCCAGCTACAAGAGAAAGGGGGAAGAGGAGGAGGTGGTGGTGGTGGTGGCTGTGGTGGTGGTGAAGGAGGAGGAGGAGG